GATGTAACAAATTTGGACATTGGCAGACTGAATGTCCATTAATCGAATTCGAAGCATGGTATTGTTACTACTGCAACGAATATTGACAACATAAAGGGGACCAGTGCCCGAGAGCCCCTCAGAGGTATGAAAACAAAAATCAATTTAAAACTAACACCTATACACATAAAGCACACAATAACAAAGTTAGAGGTAGAGATAAAGAACAGTCAAAATTCAGACAAATCCTAAGCAAGAATAGATTTAAGCCTTATAATAACGACAAGAAAATAAAAGCTAACAAAACAGGTAATTCTCCTAATATAACACATAATACAGAGAATATAACTTTCATAGCAGATTCGGGAACAACTGAACACATTATAAACAAAGGTTTAATATTAGAGAACTTTATCAAAAGCAAAGGTGAAGAGATTAAAAGCGCGAACAAAAATAAGTCGGCAAATATCAAAATAGATGGTAGAGGCAATCTATTGTTAAGTACAGAGAATAAAGACATTTTTCTGTCTAATGTAATTTGCGCGTCCAATGTATCTGACAACCTACTTTCATTAAGAAAGTTCGTTGATGAAGGTTTCGGGATATACTTGGATGATAAAGTTCTGAGAATATTTAACTTAGAGAACAATGAAACTTATATTACCGAACGTTATGATAAACCTAACTGGCTCATTGATTTTGAAGTTCACAATAACGATGATTCAAATAGTGAATGTCCAAGATACACAGCAACTGCTCAGCTTGTATCGATCGAAGATTTCCTGGAACAATCTCAGACGGATATACATGAATCAGAGATAGACACCTGTAGCGAGTCTGACAAGGGGAGGCCAACATATGTGCGACACGGATTTTGATGAGTCTCACATATGTTGTAGTATAGATGTAGTACAACAATATATGTTTTAATGTTGGGGCCAACGCTCAATAGTTTTCGAAATATTAATAACAATAGGTGTCGATATGTTGAAGAACAAATACGTTAAGATCTCGTACCGTAATAGACATTAGCGACGCTGGTAATGAGTCGGATTAGTAATCTTATTCCTGATGGTTCGAGTCCCGATGAATGTGTTTTTTTTAATTTTTGTTTTTTACATTCTAGCATGTGACACTTATCATAAAAGCACGTAAAACAATAAAATTCGCGACACCATGCACATCTAATAAAACGTGCTTCGTCACATACACACTTTTGTGCTCTAATTTCTAGTGGAAATTGTATTTGATTCACATTTAAGAAAATGGGTCTCTTTTCTGTTAATTTACAAGCGTACAAGACATACAAAGAGATAAATAAGTTTTTTCGAACGGGATGATGAGGCGAACATAGATCAAAGTTTCTCATTTAGGTGCATAAATGAACGTTACAGGCAATAGCAATAAGTATCAGTTTTTCTATTTATAATAACTTTAAAAGGTGTATTTGTTTGTCCGTTTTTCGATCAGCTTATTGCCGGTTTATTTGATACAGTGTTGAAAGAGACTAGGCATAGTCGTTACTATGTTTCTCATTTTAAGTAAGTCGATCTGGTCTTATCTGTACTTATTCAATAAACACAAGAGAGCAAAAGGCTATTCCGTTCAGGATATTTTTTCCATCATGAGAATCAGTCCTGCTCCATGCGTCAGTTGGAGTTCGAAAGTCAAAAGTGAATATTCATTATAAGATTATCAAGTGATTAGTGATCAAGTGCTCTTATCCGTGGAAATTTATTTTTTTGTACTATGTAAGTTATAAATCACAGTGTTTTCTACCAATTTTCCAGTAATTTCTTTACCGATGTATCACATAGTTTTATTTTTACAGATATTATATTTTTATATTTTAATTTAACTAATATTAAAGTACGTAGTTTAAAACTTGTTATGATCAGTGAAAATAGTTCTGCTGCTTCGTGTTCTGGCAGCTGTGAGTTCCCAAATGTTTCGGGAATTGAGAATAGTGAAGAAAGGAAACAGGAGTTTGCGAACGCAATTTATGAGTTCACAAAAATTTTAGAAAACAATAATATAATATCAAATAAAGTGACCAATGTAACAGAAAGATCGAAATTAATAGCAACCGAACTCGTGAAAAGGTTTCACGACATGATTGATGAAATGATTTTCACTAACGAAGAAGAGTTAATGGCAGAAAATGAAAATATGAAAACCGATGATTTAAAAATTGGATCGAGCGAGGAATCAACGTCATCAAGTAAATCAAGTGACGAGAGTTTTTTTGAACCGGAAGAAGAGAAAAGACAGCGTTTGTCGGTACCACTCGATACTAAAATAAAGGTCGTCTCTTTATCAAAATTAAATCCGAATTGGTCGTTAAGGACATTACAAAAAATAGGTTCTAAATTACTTAAAAGAAAAGGACAGTTAGCAATGTGGGAAGAGGATATACAAAAAGGAGGAACCTCTAAAGATAAATTTTTAATGATAGACAAATGGACATATGACAGATTTGTTGAAGCTAGGGATAATTTACAGAATGTCACTACTAGAATGTTGCAACAATGGGCACTAACTGCAGCTATAGAATACAACGTGGATCCAACGAAATTTATCGCGTCTCGCACATGGATAACTAATTTCAAAAAGAAACATGGAATAAGAAGCCGACACGTCACAAAATACATTAGCAACACAGATAAAACATCATTACAGGATACAATAGAAATAGCAAAATCATTTCAACATCAAACCGCTACAGTAGTAAAATTATTTCACCCGGATTATGTAATAAACACCGACCAGACAGGATGCGAATACAGAATACCAATTAAGCGAACACTGTCTCATAAAGGCGAAAAAAGCACTGTTGTTGGAGTTAAAAATATAAACAAAATCACCCATTCATATACAGCGCAATACTCTTTAACATTATCTGGAAAATTGCTTCCACAAGTATTCATATGTTTACAAGAAAATTCAGGAATATTTGGACCAAGAATAAAAATACAGGTGGACGAACTACAAAAGAAATTAAAAAATGTGTTTATTACATGCACAAAATCAGGAAAACTTTGTACGGCGACATATGAATCTTATCTTGATAACGTTTTAAAACCATATGTGCATGAAAATAAATTCTTATTCATAATAGATTCATGGGGAGGACAAACAAACCCCATGCTGTATGATAATAGATTTTACGATAAAAAAACAAATTTAACAACATACAGTTTAAAAGTAATTCCACCGAAATGTACACAACTATGTCAACCGTGCGATGTTTACTTCTACAGGTAAATGAAAAAAATTATTTTATGTTCCTCTTATCATAATGATCAAAACAGTATATTTACGTCTCGTAATGTATGTTCTAGACAGGTGAAAAACTTTACATCAAAGTTACAAAACGCTGCAGATTTAATAAGGTTGAAGAGAGAATTAACAAGTAGAGAAGACTGTATAAAGATACACGCGATTATTCATAATCAATTATCAGCACCTATTTACGGAGACATGATTCAATACGCATGGTACGCTTGTAAATTAACAGAAAAGAGACCCACTTTTTTAAATATGAATCAAATACAATTTCCACCAGAAATTAGGACACATAAGTGTGTATGTGACGAGGCATGTTTTATTATATGTGCATGTTTTTCAATGAATTGCAATTGAAGAATACTAATCCGACCCATTACCAGCGTCGCTAATGTCTATTACGGTAAGAGATCTTAACGTATTTGTTCTTCAACACATCGATACCTATTGTTATTAATATTTCGAAAACTATTGAGCGTTGGCCCCAACATTGAAACATATATTGTATTGCATTTACAAAAAAGTAAGTCCAATTCTGATTCTTTTCGCATTTTTCGTAATTTTATCTATTCTGTAACTTGAAAAGTTGTTTGTTATTTCATTGTATGTTACATTCAACATGTTACATTTGTTCAGTGAACGTAAGTAACGACTAATCCCTTTCTTTCTTCTGATATTTAACCAATTTGTTAGTTCGTTTTTGCATGCAATATTTCTTTCATCCTATGCTCTCGTCACGAGCGCGACATACGGACGCGGCAATGCACAAGGCGGTTGCCGCACTCCTGCGCGTCTTGTATACTCGCGCTCTGATTGGGCGGGGATTTTTGTTAATAACTCAATAACCACGCCTCGGACAACTTTTTCGCAAAGGAAAAAGTTATTTAAAATCACCTCAGGAACATCCCATTAAAATATGTACCACTAGTCCTGGGACACCCTGTATATTCGAATATGTATTCACACATGCATTTGCGTGCAGAATATTCATACAATACGTATGTTTTGTAGGAAAACGTGGGGAACCGGAACAGGAAATAAAGCAGGCTGACCCGAGCCAACAAAAAAATAATACTAACATGCCGAAGTCGAAGAAAAATAAATTGAACTGCAATCATTCTCAAGATACAATACATAGAAACACCTCAATGGTATATGTTAAAGAGGAATAAGCAGATATGAGCGATATTGACTCATTTTTAGTACTAATTAAGCCTATGTTGAACAAGTTGACCTCCAGGGAATTTTACGAAGTTCGGACGGATATATTTATGTCAATTCACAAAAAGTTATCGGACAAGTATAAAAAAAATAAAGAAAATTGAAAAAAATGTTGAAAATTTCGTTCGCATTGCGAACTTGTAGAAGGAATCGTATATGCAACGTTATGCCAATACCAAGTTGCGTATAAATAATAACTGACAGCGCCGCGGCAATGTAAAGTACATTTTTAACGTGTGGGTGGAATTTTTTCGGAATTTCGTTTCTTGAAATCCATATAAACCCATTTTTTTTTAATTAATCTTGTGCTGGTTGTATAACGAAGAAGTTTCGTGAGAGACGGCGTATTTTTCGATTCGAATCGTCAATCATAGCATGACGTGAAATATGTTTCGAGGCCATTACTACTTAGCGGACCAAAACCTCGACCTCGTAGTACTAATGCGCGTGATTCGATTCGAAAGGACTCCAGAGTTTTAGCTTATCTACATGTTCTGCAAATTCTCAGCAGATTAAGATATGAGGATCGCATTCTTTTGTTCGTTTATTTACAAGCTGTTAAAGGCATTACGTAATGGGCATCAAGTTTCCCTGTACGTGGTTCTTTTAGCACGTATACGCAATCGGTCGCCTCAAACGTTACTTTGTTCCCATTGCCATAATTTTGTTCTAAAACCAGATTTTCTACTCTCTAGATTTTTCTGTATTAATCGTCTGATTTTTTTTATGAAATGTACGCAAGTTGGGTATGTCAGGGGAAGTCGTTGTGTGATAATGGCGTGGATTTTTAAATCGTAAGTGGCACAAACATTGCTTCGTACAATATAATCGATCGAAGTTCTTATTTCGTGCATCGATGTATTAAAAGCAGATTCTATTATGTATTAGATCCGTTTGTTTGGGGCCGGTATGCTGATGTCAACACATAGCCAATTGTGAATTCCATTATCTCGTTGGAAAAAGTCTCTTCTGTCATTATAAATGAAGCGAGGTGCAACGAAGATTGTGCTGAATTATCCGCATTGGGCGTTTGCGATTTCTTCAATCCAACGATGTTTGCAAAATGACATTCCGGGATGGTAAGAGCGATTTTTTGCTATTTCCGGAGTCATGGGTTTCAATCGGGTGTAACGAGGCGTCAGCAGCCTGTTACGATTTTTTTATGGTCGTCCGATTGTATGTAGTTGCTGTTGTTATCCCAACTGCTCGGTTCGTCACAATGGCTTACTGTATCCTTCGGTAGATGCCCAGTAATGATTGAGCGGAAGGTTTTGCTACCATTAATGACATTTTTTCTTGCAGGTGTTTGACGGTACTACACTTGGGATAGAGGCTTCCAAGGTAAGCGTCCTGGCTTCAGTCAACTTTGGGACGGTTCCATTGGCAATTAGGAATTGCCCCACGTCATTGCTGAATCTTGCTGCCTCGATCCATATTCTTGGTGAAGATCTCACTTCAATATAGATCGTCGAAGATCGAGACCTTGTCCGTACGTGGAAGCACTCGCCTTGTTTCTAGGCTGCAGACAAGTGCAATTATTGAAGTCCTCCTTTTGATCACGGAGTAACAGGAATTTGTTGACGATATCCTTCATTGATAAATTCTCACTTTCGTTAGAGAATATGTAATGCTCAGGCGTCATGATAGGTTCGAGTTGCCAAAGATCTGGATCCTTCGATTCTGCATTTCGTCATAATACATCGTACGCTGATATTTGTCATCATCGATGAAGTCAACCGACTGACTCCATTCTATCCAAATATACCGATTATCATACGATCTCAGGAAGAGGAAGTGAGGAAGTCCGAGTGCGTCTATCTCGTCAAGTTTCGGTATGTGTCACTTTTTAGGTAGGTCGAATGATTCGTCTAATGTCGAAGAGAGCGTAATGCAAATTTAATACAGTAAGGGTGGCGGTAAGCCTGAAATACAATATTTTCGACTTCGTCGAAGTATCCTGAATCCTGTGCTTCGCCAAATACTTGTTCAGCGTCTCTAATCATTTCTTTGAATATATGCATTTGTATATCTATCGATATGACTGGACACATGGATAGATGTTTAAGTGCTGAGTTCATATCATAATTCCGGATACTTCGACGTAACGGCAAGTGTTGTGAACACTTTGTAACGTTCGCGCGATTCTTCCGAATGACGTTATTCCAAATAACCGAACTGTGTCGACTAATTCGCAGTTTAATGCGATTAACAGCATACGATGCAAACCTGCAAAAACATGAAGGGATATGGCAAAAATTTGCAGAAACTTTGAAAGATATTAACCACGTACATTGTTTAATGCGCGATACGCGATCCTCCGCTTCTCGACTTGTGCGTTACGTTTCATACACCGTCGTCCTATTTAGTAAATTTCTTCGTGATGCATCCGTGGCAGGGGTTGAAACGGTCCCAAAAATAACTGTTTCAAACTGTTATATACAGGGTGTCCCAGAAAAAGTGTTATAACCGAAATGGGGTGATTCTGGAGGTATTAACGCTAGACTAACAACAATTTCCTTTGGTAAAATGCAAAATGAGCTATGGTTTTTGAATTATTAACGAAAAACAGTGACCAACAAGAGCACAAGTAGGACTCGTGTCCAGCCACGGATAGGTTGGCTCGGATCGTGACGTTCGGCCGTAGCATAGCGTGGGCCCTACACGCACTCTTATTGGTCAGTATTTTTCGTTAATAATTCAAAAACCATCCACCACTTTGCATTTTGGCAAAAAAAATTGTTGTTCAGAAACACTTAGAGAATCACCTCTCTTCGGCTCTAACACTTTTTTTGGGACACCCTGTATATCGATTCCAATAGGGACAGTTATACGAACCGAAAAGATGTTATAACTGACTTTTGAAACGGCCATATACTAGTTTTCCTAGTCGATTTCTAAATCAAAATTGCATACTCGTTTTCCAGTGAACTAGAAAAAATGAAAACTGGGTCCATTTCGACAACAAGCTCTACGCTTACGTTTGATCAAATGGTCAATCTAACATTCTCGATGGCGTATTTAACACAACGTAGTTGTTTGCAAGCCGCCATGGCAGTCATGCCGGCTTTTGACGGTGAGAATTCCTCCTTGTTAAGTTTCACGCAGATAGTCGAGGACGGTCTAGCGTTAATGCCGCCAAACACTGAAACCGAGTATCTGGCGATAGTGCGCTCAAATTTAAGAGGTCCGGCGAGATGTTTCGCTCAAGGTAAAAAATTCGAGAAGGTATCTGAATTTGTCAAATTCCTGAAGAAATGGTTCGCTCTGAGTCGGTCTTTGGCGTCTTTACGCGGAGAACTAAGTCGACTCAGAATAGGATCGGACGAATCGTTATGGGAGTACATCAACCGAACGAGCAAATTAGTCCATATTACGCGGATGATCGTACGGGAAAAATGTAGTGAAGACAATGAACGTCTTATCAATGAGGTCTAGAAACCGGGGAAATGGAAAGCTTCTTCGACGGCATATCGCAACGAATCGTGACACATGTACATCACTGGGAAGCGGTTTTTTTTTACAAATACTAAAGAAATATGGAGATGTAATCGAGGCTAAAAAAAATGATAACTGCACGCTTCAATAAAAAAGGAGAAGCGTGGCAATTAATACATGAAGAATACAACTTGAGCTTAGTAATCTCGTGTAAGGTAAGAAAATTATTGTTATTTCTTATTTGTTTACAAAAATTTGCAATCAGAGACATGAATCGATTGTTTGTTATTCCACTATAAATTCGCGGTGTTCTCACGGTATTCTCTCAAAACATGTATA